CCCACCACCTGATGGCCATCTTGCCTCCACCTCATGTGACAGGCAGGCATCACTACTGTGAACAATGTGAGAGGGAGAGGTGGGGAAGATAGAAGAACAGAGCAGTGTGTGGGCTGTGGAGAGAGGCATGACTGGAGACATGATAGGAGGTCAATGACAGGTGTGAAAGAGCTGAGGTCAGCGATGGACCAAATCATTACCCACTGGGGTTGGTAGGATGGCATGCAACAGACTGAAGTTTGTGAAATTGCAGACCCAGCCCTCCAAAACACACCACCTGGCTTCGCAATAAGGGAGAGTCCAGACGAGGAACAGTTCAGTTCCCTGGTTGGACCTCCTTGTGATACTTCCAGGGGCCAAGTTAATGTCCATGGCCTGTGGAAGTACGGCATGTTCATCTGAATGCAGTGCCTTTGCAACAAAAAAGAACTTTGAATTTCCTGGAGCAGAAGTAACAAGAAGTTATGAGCTACTTGCCAGCTTTTTGATTGCTTCCCCTTGGCAGGACTACCTTGCCAGGCCACAGGAGAAGAGGACACACTCAGTACTGATGAAACCTAATGATCTGGGCTAGATGGGAAAGGAAGCTCCCCTTTTCTGAGGAAAAGAGGGGAAGAGAGAGGGTGGGACTGGGATGAGAGAAGGGAAGGGGGCTACAGCAAGGATGTAAAGTGAATTTTAAAAATTAATGATAATAATACTAGCCATGAGGCAGATAAAAGAATTCTCTGCTGGTATGAATGTGAACTACTATAGCAGCTATGAATAATAATATGGTGGTTCCTCAAGAAGATGAAACTAGAGAGGCTATATGATCCAGCTGTACCACTGCTCAGTACAAACCTGAAATGATACCTGATATGCATTATGCCTCAGACTTACACATCCACATTTATAATGGCACTAATCACAATCTAAAGTATAATAAATCTAGATATCCACCAATACCTGAGTGAATGAAGGAAATATGATGGGTATATACACAATAAAGCTTACTCAGCTGTGGGAAAAAATAAAATTATTTTATTTCTCCCAGTATTTTCTCCCTCCCTCACACCCATCTAATTCCTTCTGTCCTCAATCCCACCCGCCCTAGTCCACCTGCAAAATGTGTTCTATTTCCCCTTCCCAAGGAGATCTTAGCATCCCTCTTAAGCCCTCCTTGTTACTTAGCCTCTCTGGGTCTGTGAACTGTAGCATGACTGTCTTTTACTTTACAGCTAATATCCACTTATAAGTGAATACACATCATGACCATCTTTCTGGGTTTCAATTTTTATACATCATGTCTTCTAAGAATTTAGTATAGTATTTTTTCATAATATTTTTATTGATTATTTGGAAATTTCACATCATGAACTCCAAGTACCCTTACTTCCCAGTCCTTTCAGGTCCACGCCTACCTATGGGACCTTCCTCCTCCCCCCAAAAAAAAAATAAAAAATAAAAAACTAAGTCCAATCTGTGTTGCCCATATGCCATTGGAACATTGTCCCTTAAAGAAAACTGAGCCTTCCCCAACCTGCACCCCCCACCTGAAGCCATCAGTTGTGGAGAGCTGCACTTCAGCATCCTTGTCACAGTTTTTAAGAGTTCTCTTTGATAGCTTTCTGTCTAGGCTGTTATAAAGTGTGGGTATAGGGGTAGTCACAGAACCCTTCTATGTCTCTCTTTCTCAACTGAGATGTGCAGTCATCAATACCATGGCAAAAAAAAAAATAGTTCCTTTGTTCTTTACAGTCAGTGGGAGACAAGGTCATGGACTCCATCATCAGCAAGTGCCACAGACCTCAGTATGGTCTCTGGTGGCAGTACAGCTTTTGGATATCTGCCACTGTATTGGCATTAAACACCATAACCTCAATGGCAGCACATGCCTCAGGTGACAGCCCAGGCCATTCATATCAACATGACCCTCAGCAACAGCACAGCCCACTGTTATCATGGCTTCTGGCTGCAGCACAGACCTCAGACATCCACATGCCTTAGGTGGATCCACAAAGACATCCACACTGGCCACACACATCAACAGAGACCCTGGCTACAGTAGGACCACAAACCCAGACATGACCCTGCAAGGCAGCATAACCCAGACATCACCATGGCCTCAGATGGCAGCTCAGGCCATTCACCTCACCATGGTCCCCAGCAGAAGCATCTACAAGCATCTGGATAGTCTCAGACAGTGGCCCAGCCCAAGGTGGTAACTCAGGCCAGGGATAGCAACATGGATCCTGGCTACTGTAGGACCAGGGACATCCACATGAACTTCTTGAACACAGCCTGGGGCAATGGACCACAGATACCAAAGTGGTCTCCAGGACAGCATGGACCATAGAGGCCTTTCCAGGAGGTCCAATCCAGAAAATAAACCATTCTTCATCTTGAACACCCTGTCATTGCTTAGAGCCGGGTGATTTGTGGCTGGATAACTTGTTCAGGGCCTGAGTTGGAGTGCAAGTTTCAGGCTGCTGCACACCATCCTGTCGGCCCTACTCAGCAACAACATGCTCCCCATCCACATTGATGGATCTGTCTTCTGGGTGCCACACATGGGCCTCTAGTATAATATTCTTAGGAACATTTGCACTTTTAGACTTTTAAGAAGTGCTGGCAGTGAAATCCATGGGGACTCTGGACAATGAGCAGAAATCATTTTTTTTCCTGGAGCTCACATGAAACTTGCCCCCAGATTCTCTGCCTAGCCACAAAATCACCCTGATTCTGAGCAACAGCAAGATATCTGAGACAAATCTCAGCAATGGTCCAGGAGACAAACAAAAACAATTATCCTTAGGGTGGAATGTTATGATTTAGATCAGAGATATCCACAAAGTATTTGCCAGCAGGTGGTGCTATTGTGAAGTAGTAGAAACTTGGGAAATTTTTTTTCTTTTTATTTATATTTTTATTAATTAGAGTTTACTCACTTTGTATCCCACCTGTAGCTCCCTCCCTCCTCCCTTCCCAGTCCCACCTTCCTTCCCTCTTCTCCTTCCATGCTCCTCCCCCAGTCCACTGATAGGGGAGGTCTTCCTCCCCTTCCTTCTGATCCTATCAGGTCTGATCTATCAGGTCTCATCAGGAGTAGCTGCATTGTCTTCCTCTGTTAACTGGTAAGGCCGCTCCCCTCTCTGGGGGAGGTGATCAAAGAGCAGGCCAATCAGTTTATGTCACAGACAGTCCCTGTTCCCCTTACTAGAGAACCCACTTGGACACTGAGCTGCCATAGGCTACATCTATGCAGGGGTTCTAGGCTATCTCCATGAATGGTCCTTGGAGTATCAGTCTCAGAAAAGACCCCTGTGCCTAGATTTTTTGGTTCTGTTGCTCTCATTGTGAAGATCCTGTCCCCTGCAGGTCTTACTATTTCCCACTTCTTTCATAAGATTCCCTGTGTTCTACCCGAAGTTTGGTTATGAGTCTCAGCATCTGCTTTGATACCCTGCAGGGTAGAGTCTTTCAGAAGCCCTCTGTAGTAGGCCCCCATCCTGTTCCATTTTCTCCCTCTTCCGATGTTCATCCTCTTTGCCTTTCTGAATGAGTATTAAGCATCTTAGCCAGAGTCCTCCTTCTTGGTTAGTTTCTTCAGATGTATAGAGTTTAGTAGGTTTATCCTATACTATATGTCTAATATCCACTTATAAGTGGGTATATGCCATGTGTGACTTTCTGCTTCTGGGATACCTCACTTAGGATGATCTTTTCCAATTCCCACCATTTGCCTGCAAATTTCATGATTTCCTTGTTTTTAATTGCTGAGTAGTATTCCATTGTGTAGATATACCACAATTTCTGAATCCATTCCTCAGTTGAGGAGCATCTGGGTTGTTTCCAGTTTCTGGATATTACAAATAAAGCTGCTATGAACATGGTTGAGCAAATGTCCTTGTTGTATACTTGAGCATCTTTTGGATATATGCCTAGGAGTGGTATAGCTGGATCTTGAGGTAGCACTATTCCTAATTGTCTGAGAAAGCACCAGATTGATTTCCAAAGTGGTTGTACAAGTGGTTGAACCCTCCACCAGCAGTGGAAGAGGGTTCCCCTTTCTCCACACCCTCTCCAGCAAGTGTTGTCACTTGAGTTTTTTATCTTAGCCATTCTTATGGCTGTAAGGTGAAAACTGAAAAGTTTCTGTAAAGCAAAGCACACTGTTGTCAGAACAAAACGACTGCCTACAGATTAGGAAAGGATCTTAACCAGCCCTATATCTGACAGAGAGCTAATATCCAGAATATATAAAGAACTCAAGAAGTTAAACAGCAACAAATCAAGTAATCCAATTTTAAAAAATGGAGTACAGAGCTAAGGAGAGAATTCTCTGTAGAGGAATATAGAATGCCAGAGAAATACTTAAAGAAATGCTCAACATCCTCAGTCATCAGGGAAATGCAAATCAAAATGACTCTAGGAGATATTTTTTTTGTTTGTTTGTTTGTTTGTTTTGTTAGAAGTTAGGTTAGTGATGTTTTTGAGAAGATGCAAGGAACCTGGTGCTTTTTTCTTTTTGATTTATGGCCCCAGAAGTTAGCAACTTAGACCCACAATATCCTGTCCACTTTGATGTTCTGCCCTATCACAGGACAAAAAAACAGAGCATTAAACCGTGGACTGAAACATTGGAAATTGTTGAGAAAAATACATCTTCTTATATATAACAGTTTATTAAATATTTTATTTAGTATGTATGGTTCAAAACTATGCCCCCATTATATCATCTCCAGTTTCTTTCTCTCATACTTCCTTCTCCAATCTCATGTGCTCTTGCTTTTGTTTTTTATTGTTCCCTGTATGTGCATGGGTGCAGAGTCATATCCTGAGGCATGGGTAGCCTCTCAGGATTCACACTCCCGGAACTTTCTAACTTAACACAAACTTTTACTATATCGTTATTTGCTTAAAAATTGCTGTATCCAGAGTGATCCTAGATCATCGTAAATCTAAGTGATATTTTTTCTTATCTTGCTCCTTGATCAGATTCCAGTTCTTGGAGTTCCTTAAAACCGTGTCACTTTGATGAACATATCTTTCTGCTTTGTTTGTCTGGAGACTCTCCCTCTGTAACACATACAGCAAATATCAAAAACATGGAACAGGGAACAGAGAACAGAGGACATGGAGAAAAATTACATCCCGTACATTCTTCAGTGTAAACTCATCCTTCACTCAACATCCATTATGTAATTTGATTATGTCTTGTGAAATAAAAGGCCAACCTCCCCAGTAGCCTCTGTGTGATAGATAATCTTTTTTAATTAAATTTTACTTTTTTACATTAATTACATTTTATTCACTTTGTATCCCAGCTGTAGCCCCTTCCCTCATTCCCTCCCAATCACACCCTCCCTCCTTCATCTCTTCCCATGCCCCTCTCCAAGTCCACTGATAGGGGAGGTCCTCCTTCCCTTCCATCTGACCCTAGCTTATCAGGTCTCATCAGGACTGGCTGCAATGTCCTCCTCTGTGGCCTGGCAAAGCTGTGCTTCCCTTGGGGGTGGGGTGGGGGCAGGGTGGTCAAAGAGTCAGCCACTGAGTTCATGTCAGAGACAGTCCCTGTTCCCCTTACTAGGGAACCCACTTGAATACTGAACTGCCATGGACTACATCTGAGCAGGGGTTCTAGGTTATATCCATTAATGGACCTTGGTCCTTGGTTGGAGTATCAGTGCCTTGTGCCCAGATATTTTGGTTCTGTTGCTCTCCTTGTGGAGCTGTGATGGATAATCTTGGTGTCAACTTGACATACCAGAGAAGAGAGAACTTTGGTTGAAGGATTGATTCATCAGATTAGTCTGTGGCGTGTCTTTGGAGCATTTTATTGACTGCTAATTGATGTAAGGGAGCTCAGCTCACTGTGGTACTACCCTTAGGCAAATAACCTGAACTCTATATGCATGGCAGCTGAGCAAGCCAGAGGAAGCAAATCAAGGAAATAACATTTCTGGATTATTTTCTGCTTGAAGCTCCTGTCTTGGCTTTCCTCAGTGATGAACTCTAATCTAATAACTAAAATATAGCCTTTTCTCCTCAAGTTGCATTTGGTCAGTGTTTTATTACAGCAACAGAGAAGCAAACTAGGACACTTTCTACCTTGGTTATCATGGTGTTCTCCAAGGAGGTTTTGGGTGATGGAAAGCAAAGAAAATGTCCCCCAAAAATTTTGAAATCCTGCCCATTATTTCATATTCTATGATCCCTTTGTTGACTATGACCTTCTTCTCTGTCATGAACACTTTCATTCCTAATGAAAGGAAGATAATCTGAATCTCATAGCGAAAACAAGAGTCCTTCCCTCAGATTCAGTGTCATTTGTGGCAGGTCCTTTAGGCTTATGTAATTTTCTTTAAGTTATTCAGTGACCATGGCACACTCAAACATATAGGTACTGTCAGCTTCATTTCTATATCTCCCTATGCAGTCTAGGTAGTGCTGGTCTTTGTTAGAGAATCTTCCAGGCACATCTGAAACCACTGTATAAAAAATATGCAAATGGTTCCTATACCAAACACAATTTCCATGTGTAAACAAAAAAAAAGAACCATCTAGTTTTTAGCCTGCCTGGCACTAGTTTGAGAAACAAGGCTATTTCACCTTCCTCGTCACAGACCATTAACAACACACAAGTTCTATGAGGGGCAAGATTATACTCACTCATTTTCCACATCTTGGATGGAGTCAGGCAGAGGCTGATTCTTGGTCTCAGGAAGAAGAAGGACAACAAGGCCACCAAGGAAGGGGAGGACCCCATAGATGATCCAGGGCAAGGAGGCAGAATATGTCTTGAGGATCATAAACAGGGAAGACAGGGCTGCCCCAGCACTACCAGCAATTCCAACGACTCCTAAAGCAGTTGCCCTTGAGCACAAAGCAGATTTCAGAAATAACCGCATGGGGATGCACATTTAAAATTTGTTTCTTACCATCTTGCATTAATTAGAGAAATCAGCAGTGTAGTTAGACATAAAAATGTTGATAATTTTTGTTCTTGTTTTTCCTATTTCTGTTTCATTTGGTAATATCTTTTCTCAAGGTCACAATATTAAAATACTCATTTCTCACTTACAAAACCAAACACAGAAAAACAAAGACTACATGTTTTTTCTAATGGGGAGAGCCTAGATTTTAGCTTTTATGTATATGTGTACATGGGACGAAAGTATAGGAAAATAGAGGCTAGGAAAATAGAAAGGGAACAATAGAAAGTGATAGAAAATATATTAAGTGAGAAAAGGCTAATGGTATATATACATGGGACATAAAAGAAGGAGGGTGGTAGCTAGAGAGATGGAGGTAACTAGCAAAGGGAACTTGAGGGCCAAAAGTGGCAGAGCAACCAAAGCAAAATAGATGAAAAATGTATAATAAGCATACTGTTGTTTATGTTAACTTTTTTTTTTTTTTTTTTTTTTTTTTTTTTTTTTTTTTTTTTTTTTTTGGTTTTTCAAGACAGGGTTTTTCTGTGTAACAAAGCCCTGGCTGTCCTGGGACTTGCTTTGTAGACCAGACTGGCCTCAAACTCACAGAGAGCTCCCTGCCTCTGCTCCTCAAGTGCTAGGACAAAGGTGTGTGCCACCACACCTGGCCCCTTTATGCTGATTTTTTAAAACTTATTTTTCAAAAGGTTAAAAAAATAGATTATTTCTCATGACTTTTGCCTTTTCTGGGTTCCAAATATTATGTGAGATTTAGTTAGTGGTATGTTACTACTAAATCTACAACACAGTAACTGACCAAAAGGTGACATTGAGGAAACTTTGGACATACTTGTTATCGTCACAATTAATTGTTTTAGGCAACTATCCAGTCAATGAAAGTAAATGAGCTAAGAAGCCAGCAAGATGGCTCAGCAGGTAAAAGTGTTTGCCATCAAGACTGTGTTTCAATCCCAGAAACCAAAAGAAAATCAACTTCTGGAAGTTGTCTTCTGACCTCCATGGGTACATGGTAGAAGCACATGTCTGTATAAATACGTATCATATACACACATGCACACACAAAAATAATTTTAATTGATGAATTAATTCACAGTAAATGTCAAAAATATTTAAAAGTAAATAAACTAAGAAAATTTGTTCTGACAGTAAACCTTGAGTCTTGTACCTGATTATGGTGGGGAGTACCTCATTTGAATGCAGAAGAGTACTGCCAACAGAGACGATAGAAAAAGCTCCTCCCAAAGTTGCCACAATCATACGTAGGATCTGCATTTCTAGAGAGAAGGCCAAGGACAGTCATGAAATCTGAGCTGTGAGAATTTGTGCTCCCCAAATCCCAAGTGGAAAATATCCTTAATGGGGATGAGTAAAAGTGTAAAATATAGTGTAGAGAATGGGTACAGAGGTAAAATTCACTCCATTACTAACAAATTGAAGAAGGTGACCTATCTGCATATATAAGTTTATAGGGAATCAAAACTTCTGAACAATTGGATTCATAGGCCTTAAATCTCTTCAAATTCGCTTAAGAAGCAGAAAACCAAGTGTTCAGGAGGATCTCACTTTCATATTTTCTATCCAATTCCATCAGCAATTTCTCATTCAAAATGTAGGAATATCATGGAAAAATGACTAGGGATGATATGCCCATTCAGATACTCAAGGAATTTAAGTCCACAACGGATGTGAAATATTACAAAATTGTGTCATGAAAAGGTAGAAGTCCCACAGTGGTGTATAATCTGGAGATTGGCTTGGTTTGAAATAATGTCTCAAAACTCAAGAATAAGAATAGTAATGGGAAGAGGGACTGCCTCTGACATAATCTGATTGGCCTGCTCTTTGGTCACCTCCCCCTGAGTGGGGAGCAGCCTTACCAGGCCACAGAAGATGACAATGTAGCCACTCCTGATGAGATCTGATAGACTAAGATCAGAAGGAAGGAGAGGGAGACCTCCCCTATCAGTGGACTTGGGGAGGGGCATGCATGAAGAAGGGGGAGAGAAGGTGGGGATTAGGAGGGGAGGAAGAAGGTGGGATTAGAAGGGGAGGAGGGAGGGGGGTTTAGGGAGGATACGAAGTGAAAAAAGTGTAATTAATAAAAGTTAAAAAAAAAGAACCTCTGCTAGGAAAACTATCAAACTTTAGAAGCCACTCAAGGAGAGTTTCACAAAGCCATTTCCTACTCAATTCAATGTCATGTTAAGTTCCAACTTTGCATTGAGCCTTCAGGTGAGGCCTAAAGAAACTTACATCACTGCTTACATTCAAGAGTCACGACCCCTTGTGCACTGCTATTTATTACTTAAGTTCATTTAATTCAGTGGAGTCAACTCTAACAGTCTTAATGCTTAATCTAGTCATACTTTTATGTACTTCAATATAAGTGATGCCCATTTTCTTGATATAACTTTCCAAAGGAGGATTATATTTGTGACCTTACATTATGAGGCTCATAAGCAGACACACAGAGGTTAGAAAATAAACTGTTACTGAAGCTGGAGTAGTGAGACAGAGCTAGACAGAGGAAGAAACAGTATGCTGCAGTCATTTTCAATCGAATTACGAGCTCTGGCATGGAATAACAGACCTTGGGAATAATTGGCACAAGTTTCCGTGTGCATCTTGAATACAATAAATATTCATCTACTAGAACCAAATGTGACTGACTTCTGACTCTTCTCCAGGCATCTTAATGGAATAGTATGCCCCAAATGTCTACATTGGTCACAAGAAATCCGTAGAATTTATTTTGTTCTGATTTCATTGGCGGACCTAAAAGTACCAAGGAAAGGGAAGGAGATCATTTCTTTGCTCTCCATGTATCTTTTCCTCACCTTGAGGCACAAATGCTATGGCCAAAAGAGAAATTCCAAACAGGGACATGATAAACGGTTGACTTGTTCTACGTCCCATGTGATTCACTAAAACAATTCCAAATAAATTGGCCGGAATGGAGAGTGTACCAAAAAGACACTGCAATAGGAAGACATTTGTCCTTAGGTGCTGGAAGTTAATCAGCAGGCCAAATGCAGATGTCCATATCACAAATCTGTAAAGAACGGAAAGGCATGTCATGAGTTTGGAGCTGATGTCAAAGCAGTCAGCTTTAGTTGTTACAATCTCAAGGTCTAACTGTGTTTTCTTAGGTCCCCAAAGTGGCAGTGCTGATGGCAATGACTCAACTTCCACCTAAACTAGGTTCTTCTAGAAACCCTCAACCCTCAGAGAGACCCTCAAAGGCTGGCTGAATGCTCCTAACTGAGATAGGCAGCACATAATCTGAGTCCCCATGCTCACTTGGCTAATCCAGATTCTCTGAACAGTGACACACACCCCCAACATCCACCCACATAAAACCCAACACACGCTGCTGCTGCTGTCTACTACTGTCTACAGCAGCTTGACATTTTTCTAAATTAAACTGATATTTCTGTCCATTGAAAATGGTGGTTTGGTTGTTTCTCATTACTGACCTGCTTACAATTGGTGCTAAAACCCAGGAAAGGCACCTTTGGGGAATGAATCCCTTCAACCAAAAACTGACAACTGGGCTTTTCCATGGTACAGATCATTTGCCTCTGTCATGCATCATTTTTTTTTTTTGCTAATAAAAAATTATATTTACTTAGAAGCATTTAGAATGTCAACAAAACAGCCACTTTTTTGGCATCTACAGAGTAGTTAGTATTCAGTTAACAGAACAATAATTATCTTCACAAAAGTTGCAGCATAGACAACTGAAGATGAAAAACAAAACAAACAAACAAAAAAAAAAACAAGGAAAATAAAAACCTAACATCCCCATGTCTAACTAATTTGTGCTGTGCACCATCAACCGCTTTAAATGTCCATGCCAATTTACAACCCCCAGACTGTACCAGACAAGGTTAGTGGCCACTGAAAATACCACCAGGACAGGGCTAGCTAAAGACACATTTGGTAGTGTGTTAACTATACCAAAAAAAAAAAAAAAAAAAGACTGTATAGTTAAAAACAAATCTTATTCAGCCTTACATTTCAATATTTTTCTTTAAAAGGAGTTTGGGGGGGATTAAACGCTTAATAGACAAGAAAAAAAACTGCACTAGAACCAACTTATTCATCATCATCCCCCTCCTCATCCTCATCTTCCTCTTCCTTCTTTTCCTTGTTCTGTTCAGCCTTGACCACTCCCTTTTTCAAGGGGTCGGGTTTTCCTTTGGTGCTGTAGGCAGCAATATTCTTTTCCTATTTCTCCTTAGGCTTAGCAGCCTTCTTTTCATAGGGCTGCTTGTCATCTGAAGCAGTGTAGTTCCACAGCTCCCCTCGTTTCTTTGCAACATCACCAATGGATGCTCCAGGGTGCTCTCCTTTGATTTGGGGGCAGTACTCAACAGAACAAGAAGAAAGCCAAAGGAAGCATTTTGGGTGCATTGGGGTCCTTGAACTTCTTTTTGGTCTCCCCTTTGTAGGGGATGTAGCTTTTTATTTCTCTCTCATAATAAGCCTTGTCAGCCTTTACCATGTCTTCAAATTTCCCCTTTTCATTCTCAAACATGGTCTTCCAACTTTCTGAGCACTTCTTGGAGAACTCTGAGAAACTGACCGAGGCATCAGGGTGCTTCTTGTGTGCCTGCCAGCAGGTTTGCACAAAGAATATGCATATGAAGACATTTTGCCTCTTGGCTTCTTGGGATCTTTTTTGTCCATGTTTAGTTGATTTTTGTCTGCAAGGCAGAGTCTTCCAGTACCTGTCCTGCTTTGTGGCATGGTTATCCTGTGCTATATGGCTAATATCCACTTATAAGTGAGTAGATACCATGTGTGTCTTTCTGGGTTACCTCACTTAGTATGATCTTTTCTAGATCCATCCATTTGTCTGCAAATTTCATTGTTTTTAATAGCTGAGTAGTATTCCATGGTGTAAATGTACCACCGTTTCTTTATACATTCTTCTATCCATTGCTTTCTATCCATAGTCTATATCCCAGCAGATCTCCACACAACTGGAAGTTTCCATCCAGAAATCAATCTTGGCTTTACTGCTCCAGAACCAACTTACCTCTCTAGCCTTGGAGGTCCTACAAAACCAGAGGGCCATTGACTTGTTGACTGCCAAGAAAGACTTGTCTCTTGCTCAATTAAAAAAACAATATTGTTACTATGTAAACAATTTGGCCAGGTAGGCAAGGGTACATATCTTCACACAGATGTGCATCACACATCTGGCACACAGAACTAGACTCCTAGGATCCTACTTCAATGTAGGACTTTTACTATTGGACTCTTGCCTCATATCTCTCCTCCACCCTCTGACCTATATCCTCCTCATAGTAACAATTGCCCCCCCCCCATCTTTTCATATTTTTAGGAAAAAATTAATGAACTGACCCATTGCTCAGTGAACCGGATGCTTCTGACAGAATTCCCTCAGGTGTCCTACCATTGCCTTCTGGTTTAATCCCCTGCTTTGGCCCAACATTTCAGACTCCCTTTTCCAATGTCCACACTCAGACAGAAGTACTCAGAGGACCATGATCGCCCTGTATCATCAATAAAAGCCTGAAATGTTAAATTCTCAAATCTGTCCCCAAAGTGCTAATGACAATGACTTAACTCCCACTTGAGTGAGTTTTGCTAGGAAACATAAACCTAAAGCATTTTTCAGAAATCCTTAAATGCTGATTGAATGCTCCTTGCCACAACTCATTTGTCTAAAAAGTCTCAAAGTTAACCTCCTGGTTCCCCATTGGCTAACCAGGGAGATGAGTGGCCTTCTCTTACCATCAACCCATAGAAACTCCAACAAGCTTTTGCAGCTCCTGCTGTCCTCTAATGTCCAAGGCAGCTGGACAGGATTTTTTTTATTAAACTGTTCTTTATCTCCTCAGAGAATGACTGTTTGTTAGCTTTTCTGTGCATGCTTATAATTTGTTCCCTAAAATATTTATTGTAAATGATAATTGTATAATTTAATTATTTTTATTTTATGTACATTAGTGTTTTGCTCGCATGTGTAATATGTGAGAATGTCAGATATTGGAGTTAAAATAATTGTGAGCAACCACATGAGTGCTGGGAATTGAACCCAGGTCCTTTGTGAGAGCAGTGAATGAGTGCTCTTAACTGCTGAGCCATTTCTCTAGCCCTTGATATTATAATCACAATAGACTCTTATATGACTGCGAGACATATTGCTATTGAATTTTTGAAGGTGTAATGAAGTTTGTGGGATACATGATGAGTCCTTCCTGATTTTTAGATTTTTCACTGTATCTTGATCTGATTGAGGTTTAAATAACTGTATGTTGGGCTGGAGACATAACTCAGCCATTAAAGGGGAGGCTCACAATTCAAAATATAACCATGTGTATTCATTAAGATGTATACATTTGTGCATTTCATTTTGAAATTTTTATCTCTTGAAATTGAAAGAGGTGAAAGAACACACTCAGGGTCCAAGTTTGTACCAGGACTGAGCTTCTCAGCATCAGTCTCTAGTGATGAGTCCAGTTAAATGGTTGGATGAATACACTCTGCACTGCACAATTAGTCTGTGCTCCTATATTCAAAACCTTTTGACTACATCCAGCTCCAGGAATTTCCCATTTTATCTCCAAATGTAACAGAGAGAACATTTATCTTCAAACTATTTTACCAGGCACTGTATGAAGCCTACCTCACAAGGGACAGAAGACATATCCGCTTGCGCAGGTTGGGCGTACGGAACAAGTCCCACAGGGAAATTTTTGTCTGTGAGGCCTCCAGTTCCTCCTTCATGGTGGTTCTCACAACCTTCAACAACAACATTAATGAACTGATGGGCATTGTGGGTGTACTGGGCACCTGCAGAGAACTGGATCAATAGTCAGTGTTCCTGCCTAGTGAAAAAATATAAACATCAAAGGAGCAGTGTCAGCTCTAAAAGTGGCAAGAAGCCAAGAGAGCTAGAAAAATTCAACTGATTTCTACAGTCAGGATATGTGAAGCAAGGAAGTATAGATGGACTCAGAACACTGAAGACAGGATGTAGATGAGAGATGCAGATTAGGATGAAAAGAGATGAGTGAAGACTCATTTAGTGTAAGACCTCTAGAGGTTTGACTGAGAAATGCTCCCCACAGACTCGGGTATTTGAATGCTTGTTACCCAGTTGGTGGCACTGTTTAGAAGGTGGAATGGCTCTGAGATTCACAGCCTCACCCTACTTCCAGTTTGCACACTCTGCTTGTTGCTTGCAGTTAAAGATTTGGGCTCTTGGGTTTCCTGCTCCAGCTCCCTACTACCATGCCTCCTCCACAATTATGCATTCTCCTCTGGATCTGTAATCTCAGGCAAACTTCTATAAGTTTCTTTTGTTGTGGTATTTTTTTCACAGAAGCATAAAACTAACCAATACAGAAGTTGGTGCCAGAGAGTAGCTTGCTGCTATAGAGTTGGACCATAGGGCCTTTTGGGGGAATGGTGAAGACTTTGGAGCTTTAGACTAAACAGTCATTAATGTCGTAAACAGAGCTTAACAGGCCATTCTAGTAGGAATCTGAAAACAGTAGTGCTGAGAGTAATGCAGATGGTGGAGACCCAACTCATGAGGTTTCAGAGGGGAACCATGTTAGCAGCTGGACCACAGTCTACTGATAGGATATTTTGGAAAAGAATATGGTTGTTTTCTAGCCATATCCTGAGAATTTACATGAGACTGAATTGATGGTTCTCAACTTGCTCACCTAAAACCACTACAAAACACAGCTTTTTACGTTGTGATTTATAATAGTAGCAAAGTTATAGTTATAAAGTGACCACAAAAATAATTTTATGGTTGGGGTCACCACAACATGAGGAACTGTATTAAAGAGTCACAGCATTAGGAAGGTTAAGAACCACTGAACTAAATTAACAGGCAATAGACTAATTTATTTGGCAAAAAAAAAAATTTTTTTTCAAGACAGAAAAACACTGAATCTGTGGTGTGATTGTATTACTAAAAACTCTTACACAGGTCTACAGTGAAAAGGAGCTAGTAGAGCAAAAATAAATGCAATTGTAAAGCTTGCAGAGAAAAACATAAAAGTTAACTGGGATGATTTGCAATCAAGGCACGTGCTTAAAGAAAGGCTGTAAATGGATATGGACACCATTAAGGAAAGGTTTTTTTGTTCTTCATTGGAGAAATGGGAAATGAGCTGAAGAGCAAGGCCCCACCACCTAAGCTTCCAGCTTGTGAAAGGAGAAAGCCTAAGAGAGTAAGCACTGCTCCAACATAAAAAGCTGCAGTAGTAGATGTGGGCCAGGGTCCACCCCAAGCTGGCACAGCCCATTTTGGTAATGTGATGCATGTAGCACTGGCTTTGGAGGCATTAAAGATGCAAGAATTGAGGAGGTCATGGATTTTGCCTTCATAGTTTCAGAGAGTCACTGCTAGAAGGCCCTTAGAGTCCAGGAGGTCTTCATAGTACATTGTGTAAAGCTATGAAAGAGAAGCCTGGGTTTCAGTGAAAACCCCAAGCTATGGGAGGTGCCATAGCCGTGAAACATCTGCCAAGAAGAATGGAACAAACCTAAAAGAGATCTATGTTGCAGGCAGCAAATCTGAAAGCATAGAGCTTTAAAACTAAAGATCTAGACACTGGACATGGGGCTGCAGGATTTAGTGTTTGCCTTGCTGTATTTTGGTCTCACTTTGGCCCAGTGTTTCTTCACTCTGCTCCCAGTCCTTCCATTTGGAATTGGGATATATATTCTGTGCTGTTGTATGTTGGAAGTATGTGACTTGTTTTCATTTTATTTCACAGTGAGTCACAGTTAAGAGATTTTCTTGGGACTCAGAAGAAAGTTTGTACTTTAGTGTGGGTCTGGTGCTCTGTGTATTCAGATGCTAAATTCTGGGCCCCAAGATCTGGTTACAGTCCAGATGAGTGCATTCTCACATACACCTAACAACACTGTGTAAACTTTGCTCCCCAATTATCTCTGATTGTTTTTTGTCTTTTGTTTTTAAGGCTAGACAGCCTGTAACTGTGCAGAAGAGGGGTAGGCGGGGCTTTGATTCCCAGGCTTGGGGTCTCAGGAAAGGACTATGAGGCAGGGAAGAGAAGAAAGAAGAAGATGGAGAGAGAGGACCTGGTCTGATAGAGCAGACAACCAGACAGTACCAATTTTGGCAAATAACTCAGGATATGTATGTGGCAGGGAAGTAGCCAGACTAGCTAAGAAAATTAGTATAAATTGTATCTGCCCTGTTATTGTGCTTAAGTTCGTTAAATAAATCAATAGGTCTCTGTATCAATTATTTGGAAGCTGGCCATGTTAGAAAAACTCACAGAATAAAATTTCTACCATACTTTAGTCTTCCAACAGTACTGAAACTGAAAAACTATAGTGACTTTTCAAGTTAGGCTAAATGCATTTTACAGTATGATATGTCTATGAACCAGTGGGGTCTAGAGAGTAGAATATGGTGATTTTGATGAGAAATGTCCACCATAGGCTCATATATCTGAACACTTGGTCTCCAGTTGATGATTTGGGGATGATATCCAACCTTTAGAAGGTGGGTCCTTGCTGAAGGAAGTACATTACTGAGGGTATGCTTTAATTATCACTTCTCTCCACCTCCAGTTCACTCTCTATTTCCTGCTGCTATGCTTGCCTGCTGCCGTGCCTCCCCCATCATTATGGACCCTTCCTCTGAAACCATAAACCTTTACATTATCACAGAAACAATAAGTAACTAATATGCTTTAGTAGCTTCCATCTTTTTATCTTGTCCAGAGACCAATCCCAGAGGCTAGTGCTGAACTTTCTAAGGTCGTATTCCTCATTCCACCTAATCAAGATGATCCTTCATAGTCATGCTCAGAAACGAAACTAATATAAATAACCCCTCACAGGCATGCCTGGAGACTTGTATTCTAAGTGACTCTAGATCTTGTCAAATTGACCGTACCATCGCTGATGCTTTCCTACCAGAACTACAATAGGAATATATTGCTGAATATATCACATGCTTTGCTATCAGGATACAGAGAAATTAAGCTAAAATTGAGCTGAAAACTTCCTCCCTGCTGTTTTGCTTTCACAGGCCTGGAAAGTGCTATGCAGGCTGCTGCAGAAGAATTTTCATCACAGTTTACTCAGCTGTAAATACTTATGCTACACTATAACACACCAGGTGTGTTTTCTTGTGCAATGTTGGCATCACTTCCATGGAGTGAATAGAGTTGGAGTTGAGGCCTGTACCACAAGAAATAGCTTGTATTTGATACATCAGACCCAGGTGAAAACCCATAGCTTTGCAAATTGTAGATCTGAACAGGGAGAGTGTGGTAGTCTGAATGAGAATAGTCCCCATAGGCTCATGCACTGAATGCTTAGTTCCTACTTTGTGGAACTATTTGGGAAAGATTAGGAGGTGTGGTCTTGTTGGAGCTGTTTCACTGTGGTGGGCTTTGAGGTTTCAAAAGCTACACCACTCTCAGTTAGCTCTGGGTGTGTGTGTATGTGCGTGTGTGTGTGTGTGTGTGTGTGTGTGTGTGTGTCTTTGTCATCTCTTTCTTCCTCCTTTGTGCTTGTAGATAGAATATAATCTCTCATCTACTAATCAAGTACCATATTTGCTTGCCTGCTGTAATATTCCTCACTATAGGCTCTAACCCTCTGGAACTGTGAACCTCCAAATTAAATGCTTTCTTTTGTAAGTGCATTAGTCATAGTGTTTTTGACATGGTAATAGAAAACACAGGAAGCTATTCATGCTGTTTGGGGGCTGTTTTGTGCTTTGAACATGATGTGGCAATTGAATTGCCATCTAAATATCTTTGTTTGTGTCCATAGAGTACTGCTGCTGTCAGTTAGGGTCAGGGAAGCTTCTTTTTACAGTGGGTGCAGATACTGCAAACTCACAAATGGTCAAAGTGCTGAAAATAAGTGTCTGTTGAGTGCTCATCCCTAGATTTGACATCTATACCACCCCTCCCAATGCCCAAGGAACAACAAGAGCCAGAGGAAGCGGTCAAGCACATACAATTCTATCTTCAAGGCCTTATGTAGCCATTGTACATTTAAACTCTTAACCAGCCATTCTGGTTACCTGCACAGGACCCATCCTGAAGGTCCAGTCAACATTTCATCATGGAAAGTAGAACGGCTTGTAAGGACTTTCCCCCTCTTCAGAACTTACTGGCTATTGCTACATGAAAGGGTTCATAAAGGCCTACTGCTACTGAAAATTTATAGTCAGTTAATGATTTCTGAGATAGAAGATAGCCACTGTAAGTTGTCCACCATCCTGTAAATAACCTCTCACTGATGTTTCTATTGCTAACACTAATTTTTTGCTTCATACACAAAAAATACAAGAAAGTACAAAAGGACTGTATAAGAAGAGGAAAGGAACCAGTGGGAGAGAAGAACAAGAGCAATGAGTGATAGATACAATAAAATATATAATACACATACATGAATATGTTATAATGACTCATTATGTATAACTAATATATGCTAAGGAAAAGTTTTAAAATTAATAAAATGCTGTGGATACACTTTTACAAATTAAATTCAATAAGCAAAGGGAAGACAAACACGTTTTAGTTCCTTTTGAAAGAAATATAAGCAATAGAGTGACATATTACACCTTGATGCCTATACATATATGTATCAAGCTTATGTTTCCTTTGTGTCATAACCAGCTCCCATTATGCTTACCTCTATGGTTAGGACATCTCCAGAATTCTTCATTCCATTTATGTGTGCAACTTTTCTAAGTTCCTTTAAGCCCTTCTGAGGTTTGTTGGTCATAATCAGCCATCGAGCTGACTCTGACAGCCACCTATTCAAGAAGAGGATGGAATTATAAACAATTCTTCTGTGGTCATTTTCTGTGCCAAATTTGTCCATGGATATAGCTTTAGTATTAGTCTGATGGTTACAACTCATTCTGTTATATAAGTAAATATAATCCAGTGTTTTCTGGTACTAGGACACAATTTACCCATGCAGTACACTTGTACTTTTGAAATGTAGACTTGGAGTCATGTTGGTCTCCCTGCTATGACTTGGAGGTAAAATTTACATGGAGTTCAGTGAACTGAAACAAGGGACACTTATATAGTACTTTTCCAGATTTCCTTGTTAGAATGTAGAAAATATTTAATTAAGCATCTCTGAAAAAAAATTACATACTAATTATATCATCTGAATTGCAATCATTCCTATACCAAGAATGTGATGAAAGAATGATCTGACCATGCATGAAAGAATAATCTGATGAAAAGTTCTCATTTATATAATGGGAGCATCAGTGCCACAATGTTGAATGATGTGTTGTGAAATTTTAAATTACATGACTGAGTCTGACAGAATGTCTATTCATTTGTCTGCATGAACTCATCTCACTGTATCAAACCTGTAATCACCTCTAAGAGTCAGTTCTAAACAAGTATGTCTCTTCTTTAGGTTTGTTTGTTTGTTTGTTTGTTTGTTTGTTTGTTTAAGGAAAAGGTGTAGCTAAATATGTGGGTTTGGAAGCTAAACCCACATATCCTCTTGCACTAAGTAGGAAAACCCAGCTTCCTCTGCTCGGGCCCATCCAGGCAGCCCAGAAACTCATCTGCAGGAGAAAATTACATCTCAACCATACTAAGACTTAGTCCTCTCCTGAACATTGTGTCTCTGGGGGAAAAAAAAGAGTAACCTGAACAAAGAAGAAGAAGAAGAAGAAGAAGAAGAAGAAGAAGAAGAAGAAGAA